TAGGGGAAGGAGGAAACTGAGTCACAGAGAGGTTAAATAGGGACAAAATTACTTAGCTGGGAAGTGACAGAGCCAGGATTAGGTAAGGTGATAAGATACTCCAAGTAGCACACATTAAGTACACGTTACTGATACCAGCTAGCATGTATCAGCATGTTAGTATTACTATCACTACAGTCTCTTCTCCATAACCCTCCTACCAATCAGGCTTAATCATGAGCCTTATTCATGAATGAAAAAGCCAGCCCCCAACAGGGTTACATAACTTGCCCCGGTCAGCCAGTGGGTGAGAATGGAACTTGAATGCAGACCTAAGCTCTCTGACCGCCTAGACCCAGCAGGTTTGTTTATGCCACTAGCTCCCAAGTTCAGGGCTGTTGATTTCATGGCTCTGCTACTTACCTGAGCTACTGATCCAGGACTTAATCTGGAAAACTACAATTAAGGAATGGTCAGAAGTCAGGGAAGGATGCTGAAAAAGATGGTATGGTAATTTGGAAACAATTTTTGTCCTTGTGCTACAGCTTTTGAGACACTTCTGGGTTTTTTTTGGTTTTTTGGGGGTTTTTTTGTTTGGGTTTTTTTTGTTTTGTTTTGTTTTTGTTTTTTTTGGCTCTAAGTAGAATATCATAAACAGAATATCTCATCCAGCCTCAGCAAAGGCTCCCTGTGATGTCATGGTTCTTGGCTAATCAGAATGGCTACACTTATTAAGCACCTATTGTATACCAGATGTAGGCATACACTGTCCCATTTGGTCCTTGTGGATGAATAATCAACCATCTATAGCCATAACTTCTTCTGTGCCATGAGATGAGGGAGAATGGAGTCTTCCAGTCAAAGATAGCAATATTAGAACATTCCAGATGCCCAGACAGATGACACCCAATTCTCTGAGTTGGCCTCTCTGTAATGCTCAAATATTTAATAAGAGTAGTAGGCATGGTCAGCTGATTTTAAGTTTGAACAATTCCGGTTTTATTTTAAAGCAAGATGTGTGGTGTGGTTTTACTATTTTTTTCAGTCTAAAGGTCATCCGATTTTTCTCTTTCTGCTCATAGTCATGAGGCATCCTTATCTAAACAGTGATCTATTGTTCTGGTTCTCAGACCCACAGAGGTTTTTACTTTTTTTTTTTTTTTTTAAGATTTTAGTTAGTTATTTGACAGAGACGGGGACAGCGAGAGAGGGAACACAAGCAGGGGGAGTGGGAGAGGGAGAAGCAGACTCCCCGCTGAGTGGGGAGCCCGATGCGGGGCTCGATCCCAGGACTCCAGGATCATGACCTGAGCCGAAGGCAGTTGCTTAACCAACTGAGCCACCCAGGTGCCCCACTTGGATTTTTTTTTTTATAAATACAGTACTGTAAATGTATTTTCCTTATGATTTTCTTAACATTTTCTTTGCTCTAGCTTACTTTATCTTAATATATAATACATACAACATACAAAATATGTGTTAATTGGTAAGGCTTTGGGTCAACAGGTTATTAGTTAAGTTTTGGGGGAGTCAAAAGTTATACACAGATTTTCATTGGTACAAGGGGTTGGCGCCCCAACACCTGTGCTGTTCAAGGCTCAACTGTAAGTTTATTTTTTTTATCCCTGAATTCTATCCATGAACTGTGGATGCCAGTGGAGCCCCTACTCAAACCATTCATTTTGGGATGGAGAGAAGGCTCAGACACGTTAAATGATCTGCCTAAAGACTCATTACTCATAAGTGATAGAGTTTGAACTTGAACCCACATTTTTAAACTCTAAATCTCTTGTTCCTTCTCTTCTTCCATGCTACTATTATGCTATTTTTATTTTAAAGAGTTAACCCAGTGCGAGGCCATGTTCATAAATTATGCATTCTAATCATGAAAAACCAGTCCAATTATTATTACTATTATTTTTTTTTTTTTTTTGGTCAGAGAACAACCTAAAGTACTTTGTTCACATGGTAGGGTCATATTTTCAGTAAACTGACTCTGTAGATTGCCTATGGACTGAGAAGGCAAGAGACCCGGACACTTTCTCTTACAACTTGTGCATGAACTATGGATATAAAATTCGGAGAAGGCCAAGATGCATGGTAGTAAGAGGTGTGGGGTAATTTAGTATTGCTCCCTAAGGCAGAACCAAGGTCCAGAGTTTACAAGGACAAATTTTGGCTCAACTGCAGAACTCGGTAATGATTAGATCTACTTAGCAATGTACCAAGTTTGCTTGATAAGATATTGACTGAAAGAATTCAAACATTGATCCACGTATTTATTCATGCATTCAATAAACATTTATTGACAACCTACTACATATCAGATGCCTAGGTGTATGGCTGCCTTCAAAGGGCAGAATCAGATAAATGACTGTTAGAGCTTGGAGTCTACCAGGAGACAGAGAATAAATAAAATATTAAAACAATCTTGAAGGGAGAAGTGGAGTGGTATGACTCATAATTACTGGAATAGGGATGGAAAGGTCTCTAGTTACATGTCTGCGAGGAGGTGACATTGAATTCGAAACCTGAAAGATTAGAAAGATCCAGCCTACAAGGGGAACTAGAAGTAGCAGGTGCAAAGGCCCCGAGGCAGAAATATGGTAACATGTTAAAAAGTCTGAAAGAAAGTCAGTGTGGGAACTGAAGTGGAATGGAAGAGAGGAGTGGTGGGAATAAATGTGAAGAAGTCAGCAGGGGTGAGCTCAAGTAGGATTTGGGGAGACGTTTGGGTTTAGTTTGAAGTGTGAGGGGAAGGTGGTGAAGAACTTTAGGCAAGGGAGTAACATCACTTGTTTTATATTTTAAAGGCTCACTCTGACTGCTAGTTGGAGAAAGATTGTAGGTTGAAAGGGAGAGATCAGGAGGCTCTTGCAGTAGATCAGGAGAGAGATGGAGGGTGCTTAGCCTGGATGCTGGCTATGGAGATGGAGAAGACAGGCGGGATTGTTGGCAAATCCAGCTGAGATTTTTCATATATCACTGTGGGGAGTGGCAGAAAGAGAGGAGAGAGGAGCTAGGGTGATTGGTGGTACCTTTCATCATGCTAGGGAGGAACAGGGTTGGAGGCAAGAAACATCTAGATAATCGTTTTCCAGCAACTCTGAAACCTTGTGATAGATTCCAGTGGTTCTCAAGAAGGAGGATGCCATTTACTTCGTATGTAGGGATGTGGGGGAAGGAGCTTTCATACTTAATCAAGTGACAGGATGGGGCACTGCTGACATTTTATGGACAGGGGTCAGGATGCTAAAAGTCCTGTATCACGCAGGACAGCTCCCATGATAAAGAAATATCTCATCTAGAATGCACGCAGCTTCCTCACGGAAAAACATTGGTGGACTGAGAGCTTTTCAACTGTAAGAATGTAGAAAAATGCGTTTTTTTTTTCCTCCT